TCAGGAATGGCTCAATATCAAAATGTATGTCTATCTTTTTGTACAATCTCACTTCAATAAAAAAAAAAAAAAGAAAAAAGAAAAAAACCTCCCCAAATTTGGTTCAATTCTGTTTGTTCTGAGCTGAGCCATCACAGCTGCGCTAGAATTCATAAAACACGTGCAACTCTGGGTAAAATATTTTCTTCTAAAAGCACAACCACTTTACAAGATTAAAAGTCTAGTACATTTCTAAATATTATTCATATTGTACAAGTAGTGGTTGTTAATTTAAAACTTCATTAGTAAAATTACAGTACAAGCATGATTAACCTCCAGAATTGCAAATCCCAGACTCCAGTGGAAAGCTACATTACATCTTCAGTAGTACATTATCTTCCACTTTACTCCCAAACCAATGGAGATGGCGGCATCTCAGATGGTTGAGCAACCGTGGAACTAGAATGCAGGTGATACAGAAAATCAGTGTTCATTTGCAATAGCTAATAGATAAGAAAGTTAATGCTCGACCGGTAAGCAAACACTTCAAGGAAAACAAAACAAAACAATCCAAAACAAAACAAACAAAAAAAACCCAAAACCAAACCAAAACACCCCAAGACCAACAGTTAACAGCACTGACAACAAATATTTCCCTATACTCTATCTACTTCTTTTCTTAATGATTTTTCATCTATCAGTCATTCCTCTTCATGTTTTTACAGTGCAATTCTGCAATCAAAATTCAACTTGCCAACCTTTCAGTTCTAATTTTAAGTCTGACTTCTGTACTTTTAGGCAAAAATATTACTTGAAGCTTTTGCACATTTTACTTAAATTCTAGAAGAATTCATAAAAATATGTTTTAAATGTAACCACACAAGGTTGTTTTTTGCAGAAGTTGTCTGTGGGCCTTTCCTACTCTCAGAAACTTAAAACAAAACATTTTGGATGTGTGAATTCTGTACTACTAATAAATGTGAATTAATATCAGATGTGATTACATACAGTTACCTAATAAAGCTCTTAAAAGCAGCAGACTGAGGGTTGATGCAGAGAGGCACTCTGTTTCCTTTCTGCTGTTCCAAAATGAACTGATGAATTATTTCTGTACATAGGAGAAAAATAAGAAACACCATACCATTAACACTTTTTCCTTCAGTAAAATGCAATGTAGACTGGAGGAAAATATAGCTTCCTTTACCAAAAGTACATTTTAGTAGGGATAAAAGAACTCCAGCTTCCCTAAACCTAATCTGATGCCATACCTCATAGCATAAATTCACACAGAACTTGTATGTGCACACTAAAATAATTTTATATAAAATAAAACCTTCATCACCATGATAATAATGAAATGGTGATAACCAGTTCTAGATTAAATCCCACTTTTAGTGTAAAGACAAAACAAAGTAGCAACCCCAAAACCAAAGAATTCTCAACTTGAACTTGATTTGCAAACACCAAGAACACAGTTCCATTACTCAGTCCAGTTTGATTCATGAATTCGGTTCCTACCACCAGGCACAAAACTGCCACTTGAGATGATTAAAGCAAGAAAGTAAATTTTCATAAGGAAAGAGGAACTCTATGTACAGCTGCCATACAAAACATCTTCTCATACACACATGTGCCCACAGCATGCCCCGAAAAACAGAGCCTGGAAGGTTTGGCAAGGGGCTGCTCCTCTACAAGCAGCAGTGACGTTGCCAGACCAGAGCTCCATACGCCTGGACACTATGTTAGAAGCAACATGCTGGGATCTGCATTGCCATCAGCAAACTTTAAAGGGAGTGTTTAGAGCAACAGGTTTCAGAGAAGACAGCAGATCTATGTACAGCGATGGCCCAAGAGAGGAGGGAAATGGAAAGAAAAACAGGATAAAAAGAAAACAACGTTACATGAACTCGTATGAACTACAGATGTAAATTTCAGAATTGCAAGTTCAGGATATACCCAAAGTAGGTCGCGTTATGGTGGCAACACATCATGGAGTGGTTTTGTCTCAAATGACAATTATTTGTTAGAAACTGCTGAGGTAACACAATTCTTCTCCCTCTCTTCCTGTTGAGTTATTTGAGAGGTGCCACCAAACAGAACCTAATTCCCTACTACTGTTTCCCATCTCGTATTGCTCTCATAAAAGGACTGCTTTCCTGATTGGATCTGATTTCAAACGAAACCAAGTCTGTTTCATGGCTTGTTTGCAATGATGGAATCAGACTTCAAATCTCTAGTGCTGCAAAGTGACTGCTGGCATTTAGTACCCATCTGGCGCACCAGTTGCCTCTTCCAGGCACCAGGACTGGTTTATCCTCACGACAGCACGGCAGGGCCCAGAGCGCATCCCCTGCACTCCTGCCAGAACCCTGCAGCGGCACCCGCAAGAGAGCCGAGGGCAGCACGGCCCCTGACGTGGGTGTTCCAGCGCGAGCAGGCTGTGACAGATCAGAGGAGACGACGCCAGAGAACTATGAGACTACTCGGCTTCAGTTACTTGGTGATGCTGACCCTTTCTGCGGGACAGCTACCGAGGTAACGCCTCGCTCCCCGAAAAGGCAACAGCTGTGACTTCCCTTTCCTCCCGCTGCAATCCTTCAACAAAAGAGCGAGTGGCATGGGGAATGCTGACATCAGAGAAGAATGCTTTTTAAGGTTTGAAACCAACAGACTTCTGCATGTCAACTAATGCATGTGATATTATATTATGTCAGAACGTTTACAAGCAATTCTGTCCTTTTAGTGAAAAGAAATGATGCCCAGCATCTACCTGGGAAAAATACCTACAAGAAAAAACCACCCAGGTTAGTGTATGCATCCAGATTGCACAACCCAAACACCTACTACTAAAGCACAGAGCAGGAAGATAAATGCAGATGCGAAGTTTAACCACTACTCACCTTTAACCTGCCGAACAGAACTGAGGTTCTTTTCAAAAGTGTCATCAAATTTGGGATTAGTGATGGGTTCAAAATCACTAGTATAAACTCTTCCAGTAGATGTGGAAAAACAACATTTACACATACAAGTGTGGTATCGCAACCGCCCTTCATCAAGATATGGGTGAGCTAAGGCATCCTTAGCAGATATTCTTTTGGACTGAAATATTGCATTTAAAGAAAAGAAAATTTAAAAAAAATTAGTTAGGATATTTTCAGAGGTATTGAAGCAGTCTAAAGAATACTTACGCATCAATTAACTCTAAATTGTTTTGTAAACCCCTAATCACGTTAAAGGATTAGTTCATGTCAGAAAATGTTTTAGATCTGCAAACACTGCCACTAGAGGGGAGGTTTTGCCTAAAAACAAGCAGCGTTGCTAAGATGACATTGACCTTTCTGTTCTATAGCTAATGACAGGAAATGCTGCTAATATGATTTTTAGAAATAATTTTTTTCAATAATTACTTTTTCCAGATAACCTTAAAACGATGGCTCCTACAATAAATCAAAATAAGCCCAAAGAATTTAATGTTAGCAAATACAGCATTTTGTAGGTCCCTACTCTGCAAAACATTTTAACGTGTCCTTAAGCACATATTTGAAGTAAAACGCAAATTTAAGCATCACTGATAACAGACTAATTCAGGATATGGCACCTGGAGTTCAGAGAAATACTTTACACATCAGGTTTCAGAAAACAAGTGGTGAAGGAAGTGCAGGGAAGAAGTGGGTCAGAGCAATGGTTTAAATTACAGTGTCTACTTCCACATTACTAAGACTTTTTGTGCATAACCCAAGCAAAGTAACTCAGTCTCTAGGTCTCCAACATGATCCCATCAAAAAAGGAGAACACTACCTGCTTCTGAAGAATTGCAGACACAAGTGCTACTGCAAATTCAAGGTGTAATGAAATCTGTTGTTATAGGTGAATTCAAAACAAAACAAAACAAAACACAAACCGAACAAAAGGTACTTGCTCAAAGTTACAGAGCAAAAGCAGTGGCAAAGCCTGAAGTAAAACACAAGTGTCCCAATTCCCAGGATCTATTTTAGATGAAATAAAAACCACCTGTTCTAAAAGATTGTCCCGATTCTTTAAAAAAACAAAACCACGTTCATTTAAATGTGATTTGGGAATAATAGTATTCTAAGTGTTGAGGGATTTAGAAAGGAAAAAAAATTAAGTTTGTTTACGTGGAAGTTACATTTCTATGTTTTTTGTTCAGTAAAGCAATCTTCAGGTTTAAAAAAATGAAATCAAAAGGTACTGCCTTCTGAATACTTCATCAGTTACACGCTTCCTCCTTTGCAGTTCAGTCAATCTGTCTATTTTTCATTTGAAATGTTAAGGGGTTTTCTGCCAGAACGAGATAATTAAGACCATCAATTCAGGTATCAGATTTTCTAGTGACAATTTTGTATAGTAAGCCCCAGAGATGAAATCCAAAATCCACAGCAGCACATTTTTGGTAGAAAAACAGATGCTCAGTGGAAAAAAAGATCCTGTTATGTGACTGTGTGGATGCAGAAGGAATTTTTCGTGTGTTGCAAGACCGTGAACACCCACACGTCTCTAATTAGAACTGCATCAAAGTATCTGATGTTCTGCTACCTACACCTAGCTAGGAAAAGATAGCATGATTCATGAACACCCTCATCTTTCTCACTCTGTCGTAGCTTTCTTCAAAAGACCACTACATTTTTAAATGCAAAATCCCCATTCCAGGAGGAAATTAAATTGACCAATATAAGATGGTATTTTTACGTCTTTTACAGTACTGAAATGCAATGTAGAAGAAAATCAGTTAAAGCAGTCCTTTACTTAAAATACTCATCTAAGTAGCAGACAGAAAAAACTGTTAAAACCAGAAGTATTACAAATAATTTAAAATCATACTTACTGGATCAAAGACCAACATTCTGCAAAGGAGATGAACTGCTTCATGTGTAGCTTGACTGGAAAGTGTATATAGGACAGGAAGGGATGGCTGTAGGGGAAACAGGAGAAAGAAAAGTACAGATAGTTGTCCTGTCAAATCCATCAGCAAGAAAACACTGTTACAGCACGCGTTATTTTACAGTTACCAAGGACAAACTTCTCATTAAAAAGGACACGCACTACCTAATGCTTTCCAACAAGCCAATAATCACTATTACAAAACGCAGCAATTGTAATAGAAATGTAATTGATTTTTTTTTTTCCCTTAGTTCAGATGTAATCCCTGGACAAACCTGTATTTTATTTATTTATTTTTCTATATAGACACCACTTTAAACGGTAGCTGCTCAAGGGTTTGATTAACCACATCATTTCCAGTATTTCATTTTTCTGATCTCAATCACTGCCAAATTATGGATTATTTTGCTTTTCCTTACCCAGACGATCCATATCTAACCGACAGTGACATCTAGTACAATTCAGACGCCCTTCAGGCATACAGCTTTTTACAGAGAGATAAATAGGCCAACTACCAAGGCTTGAAGGTCTGGGGGAGGGGGGTTCAGTGAACTCCCCCTTGTTTTACAGTGCGGTACTCGGGGCATGAACCACATGGGTGAAAAAGAGCCGGGCCATCCCAGAAGCTGGTGGCAGTAGCGCGACTCTTGATCTGGTCAGCCCCACAAAAACCACCTCTGCAGATCCTTTTCCTCCTGAATTTCCGCGTGTTGCTCACACTCACAAGCACAGCAGCCTGCCCACTCTGAAGGTCTCCAGTTTTAGCTGACAGGGAAAAAACTCTGTGGTACGAATACCCTAGTAACGACAGATTTTAAAGACTGGGGACATCCAGCCGTTTCTGGGAGTATGAGCACATAACCTTCCTTACAGCTACAGATCTGGAGGTGAGCACAGACCCCCAGCAGCACGTGCCGCGGAGTACAGGGATTACACAGCTGTGGGTATAAAGACAACTGCTTCTCCAGCCTCAGCAACGCCGCTGGGCCCTGCCAGTTCAACCAGCAGATCATATTTTAACAAGATTTTACTCAACATAAGAAGTTGCCATTTGACAACTTTTAACTGCACATATTCTCTAGCCCGAGAGTCACCTTCAACTCTGGAATTAAATGTTAACACTAAGGTAGCAGAATGCGAAGACAACCCGTCTCCACATTCCTAACACGTGGGAAGAAGTACTGACCGGAGTTGCCTAAAATAAAACAGATTAATCAACAACAATGTTAATGTTACTTGCCATTCATTTTAAAGCGTTAGCCGTATCCTAGACTCTCTGGAATGAGCTTCAAACATTGGGTTTTTTTAAAGCCACAACTATGTCAGTCTCCAAAATCAAGTAAAATATTTTCCTGCTTAATTGACATTATTCCTATTCCTACTTAGCTTAAAGAATGGCAGCAGAGTGCGCTACAGTTAGTCATCAAAGTAAATGAAGTGTTGCAAAGCAAGCGAACAGTTACTCCTCTAAGTGAAGGGGCGGG